CTGGCTGGCATGTGGTGCATGGAGGATCGAACCGCGGTCCCTGTGCTTTGCCAAGCTTGTTCCAAGTAGGTGCTTTAGACCACTGAGCCATCTCTCCAGGCCCAACACCTATTAGTCTTATGTTGTTCATCTTTGCATCATCTTGCACCTGTTGAATTATTATTTCATGGATCCTTGTTGTTTTGAAGAGATCTTTCATTTCCTTGGTGTGAGCTGCAATGATGTCTTCAAGGTCTGAAAATTTATCTTCATTTTCATTCAATTGGTTTTGCTAGCTTTTAATGAAGTTTTAATTTTCAGTATCTCTTTGAACCTGTCTCGTGCATTCTATTTCTTTCCCATATTGCTCATTCAAGGTTTTCATCATTTTTCTAGTCTCTTTTTTTAAATCAATGTCTTCTTTAGAAACACGTAGTAATTCTTCCATTATGGTTATCATTTTCTCTTTATTTGGGAGAGTATTTCTCATCTGATTTCCTCTATACCTTTCTGCAGTTGTTTCTTTACTTCAGTTGTTGTTATTTCAGAGATTTCAGGTGTGTGACTTCCAGTTTCTTCTATGCTGTTGTCTCCGGGATTTGTTCTGGGTGGACTCAGGGCCTGAGATTGCATTTTGCTCCTTCATCTTGTCATTTTTCTATTTCAGAGCAAACTCTTTACTTTGATTTCTATAATACTCTTGTGTGAAATTTTGATAGTCGGTAACAGTATCACTGTAATCAGAGCCTCTCTAAGGAGTCTGTTCTGTAGGTAGGTCTTCGTGTCAGGGATTCTTGGCTTGTGCGTGTCTCGAGATCTTGCCTTCTCTACTGATTGAGAGTGGGATGTCGGCTTCTGCTTGGCACTGTCCTCCATCCCTCAGTGCAGGGCTTGCTGAGGTCATTGCCCCAGAGCCTACCAATACTATTACTGAAGGGAGACCAGTGGTTAAGACTGATATGGTGTTCTAGTCAGTGTATCACAATTAATAACAGCAAGTGAAATTTAGAAACTAGCAAACAAGGGCTGGGGAGCTAGCTCAGTGGCAAAAGCACCTGATTCTTTTATCACTATGATTTTTTTTTTTTTTTTTTTTTTTTTTTTTTTTTTTTTTTTTTTTGCGGTACTGGGGATTGAACTCAGGGCCTTGAGCTTACCAGGCAGGCACTTATTTTACTGAACTATGTCCCTGGCCCAAAACATCCTTTTTATTCCTGGTTATAATTCTTGGTTTAAAATCTGTTCTTTGGTCTTGGTGTATAGCTCAGTGGTAGAACACATGATTAGCACGCGTGAGACCTGGGTTGAATCTGCCAAGCTGAAAAACAAAAAGTAAACTACTTGTTATTTTTTAAAATATAGCCACTCGGGCTCTCTTTTAATTCTGTTTTTATCAGTTAGTGTTTATATGTTATGTCTCTTTCTTTTCTTCTCTCCACCCTCCTGGAGCCTTTGTACTGCGGTATACCCTCAGGCTTTTTATTCTGTTTTATTTTGTTTAAAGATAGGTTCTCACTAAACAGCTAAATTGCTAAGGCTGGGCTTGAGTCTATGATCCTCCAGTTTCAGCCCCCCAGAGTGTGGGGTTATAGGCATGCATCACCATGTCAGGCTTCTTAGTTTTCTTTTAACTTTATATATATAATGGCCTTATTTTAGATAGAATATTATTTGGTCTTGCTTTCTGATCCATTCTGACAATCTGCCTTTTATTTTATTTTATTGGAAAAATAAAGTCTCGTGGTGCAACCATTATGGAAATTAGTGTGGCGACTCCTCAAAAAACTAGGACTGGAAATCCCATTCAAGCCAGCTATCCCCCTGCTGGGAATTTTCCCAGAGGAACTGAAAACATCATATCATAGTGATATATGTGTGCCTATGTTTATAGCAGCACAATTTGTGATAGCCAAATCTTAGAAACAACCAAGATGCCTGTCACCTGAGGAATGGATGAAAAAGACGTGGTACTTTTGTGCAATGGAATATTACTCAGCTATAAAGAATGATAAATCTGAAGCATTTATATTTAAGTGAATGCCATTTGAAGATATACTCATAAGTGAAATAAACCAGACCCATATGT